CTTGGATAGCACTTGACAAGCTTCGCAGTTGGTAAGTGACATGACTCCAAAGCTTGGAACAATCTCTAAAGTGGTAGCCAAACTAGGCTCCTATTATATCTTTTATTATTGCTACTAATGTATAGGAGAAAGTTATCATTTCTGGGAGCGAGATTCTATACTGATGCATGTATATTTAAGAATTCTGCATTTTACAAGATAGCTTTCCAGATAGCCCTTCCGATATTTCAGTACGAAGCCGTGGCACACATAAGAGAACCAGGGCACAAATATTACACCATCTGTTTCAGATATGGCAAACCAGGGACTTGGGTCGTGTGGGCCATTGCAGTTTCTGCTGGCGACAACACTGGGGCTGCATGAGCTTGCCTCGCCGGCCTGAAGTTATTCAATGTCCTATATCTACGTATTTGGGGGTACGGAGAGTGAAACTTAGGTTCTCTAGTATGGTAACCGCAGCGGGTGCATTCAGACTATCGCGGTAGGCCTATTGGCCTGCGCTCGCACATAAATTTTGGGTCTATACCACTCCCCACGAAGGCAGGAGGAAGAAGGGGCGCCGAGAATCCTCCAATGTTGCGCACCCGGGCCTACCATGTCACACCTGTGGCAGTACGAAATTCCATGCTCATCGCCTCCATGGCCTGATATATGAGCCAGTTGTACGACCTCTGGTTTCCGCCTCAAGGCTGCTTGCCTTCCTACTGCCCGGTACTCTATCGTGTGCAACTTATTGGACGGACAAACGGTGGTCTATTTACATACATTCTTTCCGTTTTATCGGTGTTCAGAAACGTCTACATCATATATATCGCCCTGGTGGCGATTTAAATTCCACAGATTCACCTTTTTTCTGCCATCCACTTCTATTCTCTACTCTTGTGCCATTCCAGTCATTGATTCTAAGTTGACGGAGTTCAAACCACCAACAGCATTCACGATACCGAACTCAGTTCTTGTTTCTTTCGTCACAGCATGTCACAGGAACTCCGATATCAACGGCTCTTAGAGGAGTTTGGAAGCGCATTCAATGTCGAAGGCCTCACGGAAATACAGATCACCTGGCAAGGGAAGGGAAAGATCCTAGAGGGGATTGTTGACCGAGCCAGATGGTGGTTGGGTTTAGGAAACAGAAACCAGGAACCGCAGAATTATCAGCAAGCAATTATGGGGGTCAGAGAAGCCATAGCTGCTAATACAAACGACTCTAGATTCATTAGCCTCTCTACATCATGGCCCATAAATGTATCGCGCTCTTTCTTCGACAAAGTTTGTTCTCTTGTAGAAGAAAGCGAACGAAGAAAGGCTGTGGAGAAGTTGGGACTTCAAAAGAAGTCCTCGGGTCAACGCAGTCTCCTTCCTGCTCCTGCACCAAGCGTCCAGCCATCCTCCTCCGTCGCAGCTAATACTCCACAGTCCACGCCCTTTTTTCTGCAGGAAACCTCAAGCCGCCTAAGTCAGCCGCCTTCTCCACCCGATAATCCAGCCCCAGTAAACACTAATGGGCCCACCTCCAATAGAAAAAGAAAATTTTCAGAGGACAGTGCTGTGGCAAAGCGAGGAGGCAAAAACAAAGGGAAGAGAAGGGCTATTCCAGGCACATATTCTGAAGTTGGAGCAACAATTGCGGAATCTCTTACTGTGGGCCCCATAGAGCAAAATCTATTAAGAGGGATACCATCTCCGGTAGGCATTGGTGGAGCAGGACCCAGTAAATGGGATTCTAGTTTGAAGGGGTCTGGTATAATACACCATCCAATCCAGTTCAATGTAAGTCTCAGGAACATCTCTTCATGATGTTAGAAATGTATCATTAACGTAGGGTAATTAAAGGGATCAACAGGATCTAAATATACTGCTTTGGCCCCAAATCAACAGAATTCGAGGGCATCTTCTCAGAAAACAGCGAACTCTATTTCCAAGACACATTCCCAGTTTCTTCTCAGGATAAGAAAAGCAAACCTTGCAGCGCTGTCACCGAGTCAGCGGGTTCAGCTCAACCTATGCATTAGCCAGGCCAATCACCTCGAAGGTGTTTCTAGTATCCCACTGATAGGAAATACCCCCAAACTTCATTGCAATACAAGCTCTTCTGCTCATTCATCATCTGCAAACCTGGTGAGAGACTGCCAGAATGCGCTATCTTTGGCTACTCCACTTTTACCTTCTCCCACCACCGCTACTCCAGTTGACTCTGCTCCATCCGGTACTATTGAGAGCCCTCCTCCGAAGAGTGCTAAGACACATAAGAGCTTGGGCAAGTCTAGTGAACAGCATTGGCAAAAGAGGCTTTCCCAGGAGATGCCTCCACTAAGGAATCCCAAAATGGGCCCTGCTACTAGCATCGGAGCTAGCACAAATACTGAAGGCACTTATATACATGCCGCAGGTTCAGAGTCAGACGACTGTCTGGCAACTGCGGTTCTTGGAAATGGTATAAATCTCTCAGAACCTATGCCAATAAAGGCATCTCCGCTGATGCTATCACCGAGCGTGCCACAATTTCCCTTAATGGCACCGATGTCCCCACTTCATGATTCTAGATCTCCTTCTCGCAGCATACAGCAGCCGGGCGCTATTCAGCAAGCTGCCTCAGTACCAATGTCCGCTGCCTCCAGCCCATCTGTACCCACGGCTCGTTGCCCTTCAGATGACATTGGCTTCTCTGGACGAACCCTTCAAGCTCCGTTAGATCTATCCCTATTGCCACCATATTATCAGCCGAAGCAGCATTTTCCAGGTAGTAGCGCCAATCCTATATATAATACCATACATCTACATCCGATCCCCGCTGCAATATCCAGCTCCTTGATTGGTAGTCAAGGCAATGAGATCTCTGGCAATGATAATATTTTGAACGGCTACGACCAGCAAGTATTCTTCAGCCAGTATCTCAACATCCCAACCCAGGACTATATCGGTGGCCAGGAACTTCATGGCCCGCAATCATTCTTCGAGCCAGGGAACCAAATGGGGTCAGGCATGGAGCAGCTACAATCCACCATCAGTCCTATGTATGGTCAACACATGGTGGATTTTTCACAACAGCATTTCCAGGGGATGCCTGAGCAGGGTGGGATTCACATGTCCTATATATCCTATATGTCACTGACTGGGAATCAGCTGATCCCACCTTACCAATTCCTACAGCAAATGCAGTGGGCCCAAGACAACTTTCAAGCGTGGCCGCTCGGCTCCGAAGGTCACAGTGACCAAAATCCTATTGCCTTGGATTAGGGCTCATGCCACTTTCCTTAGAGCGAAAGGGGAGTTACTGCATTTGTTCGCAATGTGTAAGAGTTGTTACAGTTTGTCCTCAGCTGGGGGTGCAACCAGCCGGAGTGGAAGTATACCTAGCTTTTCTTCAGCTGTCTGTTTTCTCTGAATTTTCCCTGTCGCAAATTTCTTTATTACTTGTTGTTTTCATTCACTGCTTAGCTCCTAAAATGCCCTTTCAAGTTTCACTTCTGTCCGGCTCATTTCGTAACACGTATCGTTTCTGATTTGGACTCGCGGTTTATTATGCTTTTAATTGAGTGAGGCCTAGGCCTGGGAGCGGGATTAGATTTCTAGCTTTGGAAATTTATTGACCACTATTTATAGTCTGGATTATTTTAGAGATACCCATTAAGCCAGACTACTCATTAAATCCACTTCCCACTGTAAAATACTTTAGGATGGAGGATGCTTGAATGTAAACCGGTATATACCCTTTACCTAGTGATTTTGATCCCGACAGTACGAACGGCAAACTGCATTACACGGCATTGCACGGCATTGCACGATGGCCGTATTGCATATGCGGGCATCGGAACAACCGAATTCACATGCACTCACATCTTCTAGCTGGCGTGGACTATCGTTTTCTTCTTGGGGGTGGGTTGCCATTCAATTATTTCGCCGGGCTCCACTAATAGAGTTACGGCTGTTGTTCGCCGTTTCTTTGTGACTACCAGGGCTCCTGCCTGTATGCTCCACGGGACCTTCCAAATGTCACCTTTGGAATAGAGCATGAAGGGCTTTATAGGCATTCGTCGGCGTTGGAGTTGAGTCTGTGATCGCGTGGTCACTATGCCATGAGGATCGTACAAGGAGCTTCGATATGAGTAAGGTATGTAGATGAGGTGCAGGTATTTTAGGCGCACAAGTGTCCGCTTGTTTCACAAGCTGTTTGAGTTGCAAGCTATGATCTAGTCTGGTTGGCAGCTATGATCACCCAACCAGACAATGGACTCCAATAAAATACAAGCTCAAGACTAACCAAGGTGCTTATGACCTAACACAAAAAAAAGGAAAACATCATATAAACCCCTATCAATATCATACTAACCTCAAACTTCCTTTATCCCGCCGTAACACCAAACCTACAAAATATCTGAGTAGCCACACCTGCAACGTCCCAACAAGGCCAGCAGCGTCATGGCTGTTGATATTTGCTTTAGTTGGGGAGAGGGAGGGGGGTCAACGATGCGAAGCTATCAAGGCTCACAAGCCTTCCGATAGCTTTCAATAGCTGTCATAGACGCTCTGGCACGGCCAGTGGCAACATACATCGTAGCATTGGTACCTGCAGGCGCAACTCGGCAGCACATCCAACTTCCCCACCTTCGCAAAGCTAAATTGTGCATCGGCGTCTAGATTGGGATGTACATTATGTATACATGCAGGGGAACTTCAAATACACAGTGTATTACCTTGAGATATAGATAGTCGAATACAAATAAATATAATGGTGTTCCATGTGGTAGTTTGTGTTACCCTGAGAAGTAGCTAGATGTGTTGTAACGATTTACGAGATGGTCCCGCTACGGTTTTACCCTGAATCTGACCTCAACGGAGGAATGGTATGGAATCCTAACTAACAAGAAAGCGAGACGAACAAGTTGGTGACTAGTGGTCTCGCGCCCAGACCCTCGTAATGTTGACATACAAAACTACCAAGTAGGGTCTTCATAAGTTTAAGAGATGGGGCAGTCAAACAACAGGGTCAAAAAGATTCTTGAATGGAGTGGGATTCGAACCCACGCGGTTTCCCACTGCGATGCACGATGCCCATGCAACCTGAACACAGCGCCTTAACCACTCGGCCATCCATCCTCTAACTGTTGTGTTTATTTGCAATACATGAACCAGTTATTGTGATCTCTGCCAAGGCCTTGCAGATCACCATAACACTAAGTCCAATACCGGTACTGGAAGTTACATCATTAAATGTCAATACCAAGTGTTCATTGTGCTGCTGAATAGCCTCGATAGCCGGTAACATACGTGTCCACGCCCCAGTGATTTCACATCAAAATTAGCGGATAGGTAACATGTAGGCGTTCTCAGAGCGAGGAGTTATCATTTACAAGCTGAGTCCTACATCATGAGGAAAATTAAGTCGGCTAATATAAATCTAAGGAGGTTATATAGCTTTTTGTATTTAGTATGGAGACGCCTTGTACTCATGCCATTTTGGCCAATTTTGTACCTTGGCCCAAGGCACCTACGGGATACAAGAGCTGAAGTTGTAGTTACTGGAAGGCTTCAATAGAACATGCTTTTGTTTTGGAGCATTTGATGATCTGGGATTGTGGTGAATGTTGACAATCGGGGCTAAAAACGGTGGGCTGCGGAGACTAATGGAGCAGATCATAGAACTATACATGTTCAGCAACTCGGACATGGAATTGATGCAGGTCTCTATTAAATATAAATCTATTTATAAGTTGCCCCGCAGCGGCAGCAAGCTAAACGTTCTGTAACCTGGGCAGCGGTATGTGGGTCCAAACACGATGATATGGTCATCTCTCCCATCATATATGGAGGACATGAGAACTTATAATGTACTTACTTAGTACTTCTTCATAAACATATATAATACTAGAGTAAGTTGCGAGTATACAGCTCTTGAGGCTTAATATACGTGCCTACTAATATATGAGACTGTTGTGCCAACGTCAATACTAGGTGCACATAATATTAGAGTTTGTCTATGTGGGGAAGGCAATTTATGATTGAGTTTTGAAAGCCTTCAGGATCATCTCTCAAGAAGGTGTAGTACCGTTCCGAGACTGATAGGAACGGTCTCCAGCTAACATAGTTCCTACTCTGTGTCTCGTAGGCATGCTGGTATGTTTAGATCTGGGAATTTCCGGGAACAGCTTAAAAGCGCACGCATGGAGGGTTCAAGCCATCCAATGAGCCGAAACGACAACAGTTCAATACTTCAGAAGCCTCTTCACTGTCCTTCCAAGGATAGTATCTCTCAGGCAGTGAAATATAATCCTACGCCTTGTTAATCAGCCTCGAGCAAGGACGCCGCCCCCGCAATCAACTCAAATTTGTAGCTGCAATAAAATGAGGGTCAGTTACAACTGCATAACACGCACTTTGGAGGTCAGATGGTCATGATTTTGGTTCTTGTAAGAGACTTGGTTTTCTTGCTGGGCCGGACTAGCTATACAATAGGTACTACAGCTGGTAGCTATGGCATGGCAGTTATGGGGCTGTTGGATTGGGTTATGATATACCTTAAAGCAGCAAGTTGTTCCAATTAGCAACCTCAGTTGGAACCTCTTATCTCACCATAAATTAATGTAAAGATTTCCTATGCTCTGAATCAAGATTCAATACCTTTATTTTAAAGTGATGTAAATATTGAGGTCATGTATATGAAGTTCACATCATGTTGATAACCAGACAAACCAAAATATGTAAGTAGGTAGACAAGCGTTTACGGCGGTCCAGTCTGAGATTATGTGGCCTATACTCTATGAAGCGTGATTTATTACCTGTATTTGTAAAAGCAATCTAAACTATATTGAGTGTAATTAATTTTCCACTCAATCATGACCTTAGGTATAGACTATAAAAAAGAAAAAAATCAATTTCCAATAAGGGATGCCAAGACCCATGGACTACTGCATCTGGAACAAGATAGATCTATCGATCTCTTGATATGCATAGAGGTATATGATTAGTAGTCCCGAAATATTCTTTTAATTGATATTACTCCAAATGTCGATCCTCTGCATATATATATTTAAGCACTCGACAAGTGTTGTCATTCCTCCCATCATAATCGTGTTGCTATAGGTACTTCATGGCTTCATAGTATGTTCACCTTTTATGGCCTGGCATCTACTAAGCCGTGGTGCGTTACGGCAAACTATTATATGCCAATACCATGTACATGCAATTTTTCGTGATTGATTTGTCTATGTGAGACCGGCACCGTTTGACTTCGAGGACGATCCTGTTCAAAGAAGGTTGAGCGAAGAAAAAACTAAAAATCTATCTTCCAATAGACCAATCATTCTTCTAGTCTAGCAACCATGATAGGGCAGGAAATTAGATATTGGACATTTATAAACTGGAAGCCATGATGGGGCTATCCTGTGAGCCGGAACAAACTTCGTTCAATAAGCTTTTGGTACGCTGCAATATCCCGTCAAAGACGCAGTGTGCATGACTCCGAAAGCTATAGCCTTGAAAGTCAATATATATCGGGTAAGGCGCTTTAAAACTTTCTTATAAAGGCACAACTTCTCAGACCCACGACCTAAGGTCCAACCATAGCAGTATCTGCAGTTCGAGATAGTGAATTACCCTGAAATCCTCTATTGCCAGAGTATTGGAGTTCTTCGGCCACGACGACTTACGTCGAGGAATACTTCGACACCTCCGGAAAAATGGTACTATACTTTGATATTCATCCCCCACCAAGAACAGAGTCTCCTACGCAGTCGGATGTGATCCTCCAGCTACCTCGCGCGGCTCCACAGCCACCTCTTCCCTCCTCGGCACAACCGTCCAAGCCAGCCCCAAACCTTCCACCACTAACGGAGAAGAAAAAGTAGGATCTATGTTTAATTAATGCGAGTACTCCTAAAGTAGGTACTAGATGGCTACTTATGATTGCACATCTGCTAACATTTATAGGACTGCAAACCAGATCGAATGATATCATTGCGCTCGGATGAAGTTTTTCCTAATCGTTCCCAATTAAAGGGAACTTGCTTACAAATTTTGTATGTGCTGAAATGATTTTCAATTATTAATTTGTACTTTCAAGTGATATCAATACAATATGAAGTCGTCTCCAAAACCCATAGACTACATGGCTAAAGAGACTTCCGTAGTCTCGTGACTAGACTTCCGGAACTGATGTTGATGTCAAGTAAGTTCTGTTCTATGATATCCTCGTACCCAGTGTAGGTTGGTGGCTTTATCAGACACAGGAATGCCCACGTTATATATGCATACATACACTAATAGTGTGTTTTGCAGAAATATGGTACTAAGCTGTCGTGTTTGAGAATAGCAAAATTGGATAGATGCACTGAGATGCTTACCCTGTCTTCCATTGCACTTCCAACCTCGTAAACGAAATGTCAATGCCGATATGTAACCGGCTAAATACAAGATCTTAATGCCACAACAATTCGCGTACAAGCTGCAAGAACTGGATTAGTTTCTAAATGCAGCAATTCGAGAACAAGCTGCACGACTGCCATGGTCCCCCTGTGAATGGTCAATAGTAGAGCTGAAGGTTTTGTAATCTGCCTATATTTTTATCCAATTGGGGATTTGTATTTTCTCGTATGTAACCTTCACGGCTAGTCTTGCACCATTTACGGCTGTGGCACTGTATAACGACTTAAGAGCCGGCTATAAGTTTTTGTGAGCTACCATGCAGTTTAGCTTATTCTGTACAGCCGTTTTTATACCCAGGCTACGTTGGGGAATATCTATATAATGGTCTCCTGCTGTAAAGACCACACTTGAACGGACCAACTGAATAAAGAGCAAATAACCAACTAGATTATAATGGCAGCAGCGATTGTGACGCAGTGCCCACCCCCAGCTGGAGTGACGCCAATGCCACCTCCTGGAACAGCAGGTTCGCTTGTGCCGATAGTTTTTATGGCGAGGGCAATGTTAAGCAGTAGGTGTATCTGGTACTCGCTGTGCGGTGGTATTTAGGTTGGTAAGACATGAACTGATTGTTGGGCCAGTGGTGATGAGGGTGTCGGCTGCCTCGGTCAAACGAATGCTCGGGGCAAAACCGCCTACAACCACTGTACAGACTCAGCAGAGGTTTCATGTTGTCGCAAGTGCTGGGCTTGCTGCTGCTGCGTAGGTACACTTTCCTTAATTGGTGTTTTTCCTTTGAATTTAATGGTTAAATACATGCACGCTCTGAAAGATGAGGCGAAGAAGGCTGGGGTGGGGAGTAGTGGGGTAATTTTACAGCACAGTACGTTTTAATCAGCTCTTATTAGCCTCATATGTGCTCGATACTGAAACTCCGGGTTAGGCTTGGCTACGGAAGGTGCAGGAAACACATATCCTAAGCAATTAACCCAAGCTGTCATTATGCTCAACTATGTTACACACACCCTAGGCTGGAAACCGAGTCAGATAATTTTCATTGGAGAGTCCTCAGGCTCTAACCTCATGTTCTCTACTTTACTGCATGTCATTCACCCCTGCCCGCATGTCACCCAGCAAGTCAAGCTGTCAGAGCCACTTTTCATGATTATTGCCCTCTCTCCTTGGGTCATGCTCAACTATAAAACCACCACTGAGCCTGCTTACAATACTGATTATATCGGGCATTCTGATCATAACAAATTTGTAGCAAGCTGGCTTCCTCCACGGGATGATATTGATGTTCGCTGGGGAAACTTTGAGGATACCCCCAAAGAATGGTGGGTAGGGTTGGGGAAGGCATGTAAACAGATATTAATTACAGCAGGGAACGGAGGAGATGATGTATAGTGATATAGTAAAATTTGAAGAGATAGTTTTGGAGGGTAAGAAGGACGATCCAGAGGGAGCAGAGTACGAGTTTGAGCTGAAGACAGAGATTGGTGTGCACTGTGAGCCATCAGTGAGCCTGGGGACATCTTTGGATGATATTCCACAGTGGGAGATGGTCAAGAAATGGTTCAATAAGAGGATTGCACAGTGAAATTGGTTTGATAACTCGTCATGAAGTGGCAATCGTTGGGGATACCACTGTAGTTATGTAAGGATATCAGTTGGGATAGAATACGATCGTGAAATGGGATGGTACCACACATATACCTCGGGTTGCGAAACTTGGT